CTCTCTCTCTCTCACTCAGTCTTCCATCTGTTGCTGTCATAATGACGTAACATGCGTGCCTTCGAGCGAGGGGTGACGTACGATTCGTAATGTTTTATTTTGAATTGAATTATTATTTTGGGATTTTTCTACATTAGATAAAACATCTACGGTGATCTGGATTTGGCAAATCATCTATTAGTTTAGAATTGTATCCCCTTCAATATTTTATTCAGCAATGACGTCAATTTGTAGTTCATCCCGCAAATTGGGGGATTTATCCTCAAACCTCTGTATTATTCCGTAGTATTAGCCAACATTTTGACATTTTAGAAATAGACCATTTTAATATTACGTTATTCCTATTTTTATTTTCAAGGAAGATTATATATATAAAGATACATATCTAAAGAATTCGTGTATGTATGTATATATATATATATATGAATCCTTTAAATAACTCTAAAAATTAATTTGATTGTAAGACTTCCATGGAATACTAATACATGCAGTACTAATATTAAGTTAATATAATTCATTGTAGAATTTTATGTATTTTTACCCATATACTTTTTTTGTTTGTTGTCTTTTGCTTGCGAATGTTTTTGCTTTGTCACGATAAATAGCCTTAGGAAATAAATAGCCTTAGATTCCCTTGGAAATTTATTAGGGTTTTTTGAATAACAAAATGTGAAAGTGTCTTGTTAACCACAGACCTTACATTACTCATAAATAAAAAAAACTCCAATTCTAAAAAACCTTCTACAAACGGAAAAGTTATATTTTTTATTGTAATAATTATAATAATAGCCTACCTGAATTGCCTCGGAAGATATCTGGAAACACTATCTGTGAACTATGCTTCAAAAGATGCTTCATTAAAAAATCAAATAAAATTTCGAATGTATAGCAAGTCGCTCCTGACGTTCGAAAAAGATTGTTTAATTGCTTTCGCGGGAATGACTTGGTGAATGGTGCATACATGCAGTACTTACACACAGGCACTGATAAAGACGGCTAACGGGGTCTTTCGTAACTCAAAATAGTCCAGCATGTCCACTAGCGGTCCGTCACTTACCGCAGAGTCCGTTATTTTACTTCATTGTCCGATGGTAACACATATCCGCAAGAGCTACATAAAAATGCATCGGAGTTTTTTTTATAACTTGTTAATGTGTGGCTGCTTTAGAAACGTTCCAAATTCAGAGTTTAATAATGTATTTAAAGAAGATCTTTACCTCTTTCATAGAAAGATGGCAGTGAAATTATAAAGTATGAGTGTAGGTAAGTATCAAATCTACGTATCTGATAGATGATTTGTCCATTTTAGTATCTCATGCCTTATTAGTTGCTTTTAAGATTCCTTAAAATCAAAATTGGAGATTTAAGGCCATCTGGTGTACTACTGAAAGTTGACTAAATTACCTTTTAGCAGTTATACAGATATTTAAAATCTATAGCTATTTAACAGATAAAGGAATTATACCACACAACACAGAAAATGGCTCATAAAGCAATTTCATCAGGTCTTTAATATGTTTCTTCTGAGAGTTATGCGGGGAAATATTCAAGTGCTTCTCCAAGCAGCCTTGATCTTAATCCTTTTGGTCCAGTCCTGTAACTTCTGACTATTCTTTGATTTTTTTTTTCCACTTAGAAGAATGTCCATATTGTGGAAAGCCCTTCAAGAGGCTGAAAACCCACCTCTCTCACTGTAAAATGGCACCAGTTGTACAACCCAAGAAAAGCATTCAAGCACCCAAAGAATTGAGTGCAACTATTTCCAGACAGAAGATCTATAAAAAGACAGCAACAACAGAAATAAATAATGTCATATTTGATGAGACACTAACCTCCAAAGGAAGAAGGAAAGATGATATTCACAATGCAGACAGTCTTCACACAACTACTGAGGTCAAAGTCCCATCAGCTCAGACTCTGAACACGGAGAGGCCTAAAAGCAAATGGCTTACTAAAAGACAGAAGGAACTTGAGAGATTACAGCTGTTAGTGCCAGTCTCAAAGAAGCCAAGCAACTCTACCTCATTATCCAACAACGAAGGAGATAAAAGCTTTTATGAGATCTCCAAAAGACCAAAACAGGGAACATCTCAAAGTAATGGAAAAAGTACTAAAGGCAAAAAGAAACTAGAGATGGCACCATTATCAGAGCACTTGTCCATCACCAAGAGTAAAATCAATACCCCTGGATTTGTTCCAGCAATTCTGAAAAATTGCAGTGTGCAACATGAAAAACCAAAACTCAAAGTTAACTTCTTGGAGGAGCTTGAAAGACTGAACAGTCAGAACAAGGATTGTGATCTAGTATCAAGTGCAAAAGAGCATAAAGCTCATACTTTCTTTTTATCCAAGACTTCTGTGTGGGAGCACATCAATGACAGTTTGTATTACAAGAGGTCTTATATGTTTGTGCCTTATCCTACTATGGAAACATCTAAAGATTCTTCTTTGGAGACCAATGCGATTTCTATTGTGCAACAATCAAACAAACCCGAAACTGCAGTTACCAAGGTTGCCATTACAACCTCACCCACTTTAACTGAAACCTTCATTCATCAACCCACAGAAGACATCCTAAATTCAAGATTGCAAGGCATCAGAATTCTATCATGGAGTCCAGAGATAGTGACTACTCGCAAAAGAACAAGGCAGCTATGCTAATGAATGCATTTGGATTAAGGATCAGTCTGCTGGACCAGCGGCCCAAAGTGAAGGTAATGCATGGTTTATGTGATCTTTGGTTATTTATGTAATGGTTTTTAAGTAAATAGACAATGCCTTTGAAAAAAAGAGTAAGCACTTTAATATTTGTATCTAGTTTTTTCAACTTTGACTTATGGGACTAATTAAAGCTTGAACTCCCCTAAAAGGAGTGAAAACAAAAGGTTAGCTATGTATTATTTTTACATAGCAAACTATATACCTAGGGGCACTGATGATTTCTGTGATGTGGAATACAGTAATAAAAAATAGAATAGCATGGAATGTCACGGAATTTGGCCAAGTTTTAATGAGCAAATCAAAAGTAGGGCTGTACACTTATCGAAGTCATATTAAGAAGATATGGGCTAGTGTCTGTGAATATTAAACCACTAAAAGACTGCTATTGAAACATCAAGTCTGCATGTTCTTTCATCTACTACACATACTCAAGCACATGTGACGCCCCTGATGTTTTCAGCATCTGCCGTCTCACTACATGAGGACATGAACACATTAACTTTTTTCACCAGAGTTGCTCTGACTCTGAGTTTACTTTTTGAGTATTTCAGCATTTCATTTAATAGTAAACGCTTCATTATCACGATGTATAAACCACAGCTCACACAAACGCATTTTCAGACCAAGCAGCTTTCTGTTGGTCAATGCGCCGAATCCGCTTGACCAGATTGAACATGTTGCGAAATCTGAAGTATTTCACCCTCATGCGAAATTCTCAGGAACGTGGATTCCCGTTGAAATGACCGTTTCTCCTGCGAAAATCTGCAGAACAATGTTAAATGTGAACACCTTGAGTCAGAGTACACTAAATACACTCGCAAAAAAAAGTTGAGTTCGGTAGCCATAGCAACAGTGCACTTCCCACAAGCACTTTCTGTTAAGATCAAACTGAACAGTATTACAAAACACAAGTACTGTACTGCCTTTATTTGTCACTTTTTAACACATATCAAAAGTAGCACACAAAAAGTGCTTTATTTTTTAAGATGGCATTTGGGTAAGTGTGCTATAGATGCTAAAGATAAAGTTGCATAACACAAACAAAGCATGAAATCCTGAAAATTACAGAGAGAAATGGGTTCTGACCAATTTAAAAAATTTGAATGCTTCTGAAAGTTTTATTATTTTTTTTCCAAGATTGGCAAGCTAGTTTTCATTCTACCATTATGAGAACATGAAACACTGTCTATTTTGGACTATCACTGTATCAAAACATTTTTGGTGAGATTATTAGACAGCTAATTGCATATAAACAACAGTAAACAACATTTCATTATCATAGGTTTACATTTGGGTACCATAGAATTATTATGCACAGTCTTCAGTTTCTGAGATATCAAGCTGAAAGTGAATGAGCTACACTTTTATCAACTTGGCTGGAGGAATTAAAAATATTATATGTGAAACAGTTTCTTTCCTTATTCCTCCTATTGCAATTTTTGATTCATTCTTTCATGTAAATCTTTAATTTCATTTAAGTTCCTCATCCTCATTGTGCTTCCACACCGGTTTTCATGACATGTCCAATTTCTCATACCAATCCTAAACAAAAAGAGATTGTTTAGATGACAAAATATGCTTTTGTCCTTGCAGTGCCTGTAGTGCAGCGGAAACTTGGAGATGTCAGGTTGAATGAACTTAGTGTCTGGCTTGGCGCTCGAACTCCTGTGTCACCCAGAGAGATTGTGACCATGTTGAAGCAAGGTTTGTTCCTTAACAATCATAATACAACATAACATAGCATTTGGTCTAGTGTTTTTGAGTTTCTTGGTTGTATGTGATCAGGATGGCAGTGGTACTACATAGTATATTGATGTTCGTAGAGGAGGAATCGGTGGGATATCCATGCTGTTGACTGGATACTGTGTCCTGTTACATATGGAACTACCCATATCTCAGTGAGTCTGAATTAATGTCATCATCCCATAATCATTGACACGCATAAATAAAATGTCTTGTTTTATGCTGTTTTATAGAGAAAGAACGCTGGAGAAAGTACCATTAAGGACGTTTGATGGTCTTCATAATTTTAGCACACTTTGGAGAAGCAGCAGCTTTGTGTTCAGGGCCTTGAGGGCACAATAAGATGAATAATTAATAGGACAAGATTATAACACCAGCAACTAGTAGTTCACTGCAATATGAGGTTTGCTGTATTTTTGATAGAATGTGTTAGTATTTTCTGGAAGCATGGATAATGGAGTTATCTTATTATATTTTTAAATATTCAT